TCTAATCTTTTTTTTTTTTTAAAGCAGTCACTCCTATAACTGCAACCCCAAAGTAAGTGCATATGTTCAACTTCTTGCGGGGTCTCATTGACACCATTCTGTCAAAGATGAGATGCTGATTCACACTGCCTCCTTTAAGAAGGTGAAATGGAAGTTTATGCCCTATTGACTGTTTCCCATGGAAGGTAGGGTACTGACTTGCACACCTCCTTGCTTTTGAGTAAGTTCTGCTTACTGTTGGGATCCACTACCACTGGGTGAAGGAAGAAGTGAAGTGGTATTCACTCTGCTTTGATGTTGCAGGGAGGACTGCAAGCTCAGCTCCCCACTAGGCCACCACTCAGGCTGGGACTGGAGGACCTGGTGGTCTAGAGTACTGATTAGCCCCACCTCACAATACATCATTAATTCTTCCTTCTGTTTGGGTATCAGGAAAGCTAAGTTCTCCACTGGACCTGGATGACACTACACTGGAAGGGGAATCAGAGTGAGTGAGGGAAAGGTCAGCTCCCTAAGTATCCCCACTGAAACCAAGGGAAATGCTAGGGTATGATTTTTCCATTAGTGCTTGTGCTTATCTAAAGCAGGGCAAGTACTGATAAAAAGTTTTTTGGACTGTTAATACCACTCTTTTCCCAGTTCCTTGCCTAGGAAGTTTGAGGCTTTTCTTAGATTTTTTGTCTGAGATTATTGGTTGTTCTGCTTGGAGGTTTTTGAGTCTTCCTATGCTCATTTTTGGTGCTATATTTAGGTTTTCAGTTTATTTGTTTCTTTAATTTTAGATTTTTATTTTTTAGTTTCTTGCTTTCTTTTCTTTTTTATTCTGTAATAACAGGGAGGGCCTGGGAGGAATGCAGCTATTGCATCATCAAGGGAATAACAAGTCTATGTCATAAAATATTTAAACATATTTATCCTTTTTCTTACTTATTTTGTGCTTGAAATTTAGTGTAATACAAATTAACCTGCCATACCCAGATGTGGAAGTCTCAGTACTTACTTTAAACAGAAAAGGTTAGCTAGAAATGAACCTGTCCCAGAAACAAAAGTCCCCTAGTGGTGATTGTTCTCACAGAGCCCTTCAATCCTCTTCCAAACAGAATATGGGCCTGAGAGAAGTCAAACTGTTAAGAGGATGTTTGTGACCTTGGTCTTTTTGTTAACCTTATGTACTTTCTTAATACTTTGTAAAATAAAGAAGAAACTTAACAGGGTTACTCTGAGTCTTACTTGAATTGTAAATCACTAGGAACAGTGTAGTAAGCAATGGAGTATTGTTAACAGCTTTTTCTAGCACAGTAACTGGAGCTGCTACTACTATTACTAACATTTGGTTTCAAGATCTTTCAACTCTCCAACCATGCAAATACATAAGGGAGGAATTTTTCAGTAGAGTGAGATTACAAAGCTCCAGTAAAATAGGCTGAATTCTACTGTATTTGCCAATCTCAGTTATCACAGTGTCAAAGCACTAGCACAGATGCTGTACAAGGGCCTATCAGAGTTGCAGCAGGATCTAACTGAAATACACAATCACTTGAATTAGGCACAAGCATTCAACAAGTAAGAGGCCGAGATTCAAAGCAGCAGAATCAGTGGATCAAGTATGAGCAAAAGCTTCATTCATCCATTAGTTATAAAGCAAAAACTTCATTCAATTTTAGTTTTAATAACTAAAAATATGTACCAATTTTAGTTAATTTTATTTGCAATTAAAATAATAACTGTATATATTTCTGGGGTAGTGTATGTTTTAATGCCCATATACATTGGACAATGATCAAGCCAAGATAATTACTCTATAAATCACTTTCAACATTTCCATTTCCTTGTGGTGGCAACATTAAATATGTTCTCTTCTAGCTATCTTGAAATATACACTACATGGTTATTGGCTATAGTCATGGTGCTGTGTAACAGAACACAAGAACTTATTCTTTTTACTATAACTTTCTGTCTATCTGTTCATAGTACCTCCTCTCCTCTACCATCCCAACCTCTAGTAACCACTATTCTACTTTCCACTTCTACAAAGTCAATTTTTTTAGGTTCCACATATGGGTAAGGTCATGTGTTTTTTGTCTTTCTCCATCTGACTCATTTCACTTAACATAATGTCCTCCAACTTCATCCTTATTACCACAAATGAAAGAATTTCATTCTGTTCAATGGCTGAATTGTATTCCTGCGTGTGTGTGTGTGTGTGTATGTGTTATCACATCTTTTGTACGCTGATCTGCACATGGCCATTTAGGTTGGTTCCATAACTTGGCTAATATGAATAGCACTGTAATGAATATGGAAAGGCAGAGCAATCACATTAACGTGTCTACATATCTGAAGGAAATGAACTCAGTATGTCAAAAAGATGTGCACATTCATGTTTATTGTAGAGCTAGTCACAATTCATTATTTTTTTCTTTCCTTCATTTTTAAATATACCATGACATTTACTACGTTCCCGAAGCTATGTGAAAATTGGATACATGGGGAAAGAGGGAAAGCATTGTAGTTGTCATAAGTAGCTTCCAGCACCCTGGAGAAAGCAAGTACACAGAATATTGTTAAGAAAATGCACAGTGTTTTACAGGAAAATAACTGATGTACCTAATATGGCCTGGGGCCTCAAGAAATCCTCCTTACTGATGGGAAACAACATGTAGGTTAATATATGTCACATAAGCAAGCATTACCCAGGGAAGGAAGAAAATGCATTACAGGTAGAGGTACTGCATACAAGGGTCCCGAGACAGGCAAGATTTGAGAGATGAGAAAATGATGCATTACGAAGAGTAGTGAGAGGTGAAACGAAAATGGGGGCCATATTCTGGACCTCATAAGCCATGTTGAAAACTGTTGCCTTATTTTAACATTATTGGGATATTTTAATTAGGAATTAATTAACTTATTTAAATTTATGGCCATGTTTGGTATATGAAGGATTGGAACAGAGTAAAAAATAAAGAGGAGAGGTGATTAAAAGTGATTAATCAAGGCTCTCTAGAAAAAGATCAAATAGTGCATGTGTACTTCTTCATATAAATATATTTATTTACATATGTATGACATATATGATTATATCAAAAAGAATTAGGTTCATATGCTGGGAACAGTGGCTCATGCTGTAATCCCAGCACTCTAGACAGCCAAGGTGGGAGGATTGCTAGAGCTCAGGAGTTAGAGACCAGCCTAAACAAGAGTGAGACCCTTGTCTCTACTAAAAATAGAAAAAAATTATCCATGTTTTATGGCAGGCACTCATAGTCCCAGCTACTTGGGAGGATGAGGCAGGAGGATTGCTTGAATCCAAAAGTTTGAGGTTGCTGTGAGCTAAATAGATATCATGGCACTCTAGCCTGGGCAACAGAGTGAGAGTCTGTCTCAGAAAAAGAAAGAAAAAGAAGAATTACAATCTTCATGACTGTGGTAGCTAACAAGTCCCAAACCCATGGGGCAGGTGAGCAGATTGGAAGTTCTAGCAAGAATTGATGTTGCCATGTTGAATCCAAAGGTAGTTTGGAAACAGAATTTCTTCCTCTTTGATAGACTTTGGTTTTGGCAGTGCGCATAACTCAGTAGGTAGAGTGCCTCCTACATACATGGAGGCTGCCAGGTTCCAACCATCCTGGGACAGCTAAAACCACAATGACAACTGCAACAAAAAAATAACCAGGCATTGCGGTGGATGCCTGTAGTTCCAGCTACTTGGGAGGATGAGGCAAGATAATTACTTAAGCCCAAGAGTTAGAGGTTGCTGTGACCTGTAATGGCATGGCACTCCACCAAGGGTGACAAAGTGAGATTCTGTCTCTAAAAAAAAAAAAAAAAGGCTTCAGTATTTTTCTCATAAAGCCTTTGCCTGATTAGACAAGAACTATTCATATTATGGAAGCAATCTCTTTCATTAAAAATCTACCAATTTATATATTAATCACATCTAAAAAAATATCTTCATAGTAGTATCTGGATGGCAATTTGATAAAACAACTGAGAACCAGAGCCTCGCCAAGTTTACACATAAAAATTTCAACCATCTCAGGAGTATTAATGTTAAATAAATATAACAGGTGGTCTTTTGAAATAGAAGTATTGACAATGAAGTTGGAGAGAAGTGATTCTAAATATTAACTTCGGAATGTATAAGACTTTGTGATGGAATGTTGGAGTACAGAGTAGGATATAAAAATAAATTATTGTTAGGCAACTGAACTAACAAATTGATTGAATGATAGTGCCTCTTACTAGGGAAGATGAAGGGGGGATAGAAGAAAAGACAGGAAAAGCACAATAAAAGTGGTAGTCATTGGCATATAGAAGAAAATTAAAACTCTCAGGGATGAAACAACCCAAGCTTCCTTAGCTGATTATGAATAAGTAATTCCAAGAGTTTGTTCCATTGAGACCCTCGGGAGTTCAGGAACACTAATCATTGCTACAGAGGAAGTCACATCTTTTGACTTGACAGAGGAATTTACAGATAAGTCAGGGACAACTTTTTCTTTACATTCCTGGGTACCTCAGATATCCAAGGCCAGAGTAAGAGGCCAGGAACACAGATGAGAATTATACAAGTCCACAAGGCCTGTCCTCAACACATAACCTTATTGCAAGAAAAATGTATCCAGCAATTTTATTGCCCACTTTCACTTTGTCATTTGCTCTTAGAAAGTACTCAGTAATAATTCTAGTTATCATACACATTTTAAGATAAGCTGCTATTGAAATGGACAGAGTCTTAATGATTTGGAAGTACAGTAACTTCAAGGTAAAGCAGAGAACTACTTTTGAAAAATAAATATGAACATGACTTAAAAAGAATTTTCAAATTATTTTTTATGAGAATCCATTTTTTTCTTAATAATAACTACATCTTAAACTAAAAAGTTTCACACTCACTAACTATATATAGACAGATATGCTTTATCCATGGATATTCAATTTCTCCTATCATTCTAATTAGAGAACATTATTATACAAATTCTCCAAAAACAACATTGAGATTATATTTTTTGACCGAACTGTTTTTTCAGAGCCCCCTTAATCTCCTTATTTCTAAGAGTGTAGATAAGGGGGTTCACCATGGGGATCACCATCATGTAGAACACAGACACCACCTTGTTCTGGTCAGTTGAGTAGCTGGACTTGGGCATCACATAAGTAAATGTGATGGTCCCATAGAACAGAGTGACTGCAGTGAGGTGGGAGGTGCAGGTGGAGAAGGCCTTGTGGCGCCTCTCCCTGGATCGCATCTTCAGGATGGTGATGAGGATGTAGATGTAGGAGACGGCTATGACAAACACAGTGACCACAACAATGGAGCCAACAGAAAGTGTAGAAACAGCTACAGGTACACTGACATCAGAACAGGAAAGTTCAATTAAAGGACCAAAATCACAGAAAAAATGATTGACTCTATTTGATCCACAGAAGAATAAAGAAAAAAAAGAAATAGTGTAGGAGACAGCATTGAGAACACCAGCTACATGAGCAACTAGGAGTAACTGGACACAGACTTGCATAGACATTTTGGTTGAATAAAGTAGAGGGTTGCAGATTGCCACAAAGCGATCATATGCCATGGCAGCCAGAATAAAGCATTCAATTGTTCCAAAGAAAGCAGCTGAACTCAGTTGAATGGCACATCCAAGGTAGGAGATTGTATTTCTCTCCATCAGGAAGTTTACAAGCAGGTTGGGGGTGACGGAAGATGAATAGCCCATGTCAGCAAAAGCCAAGTGGCTCAGAAAAAAATACATAGGGTGATGGAGCTGAGAGGAGAATCTGATTAGAATGATTGTGCTGAGGTTGCCAGATATGGTCACCAGGTAGATGCATAGGATAATCACAAAGAGGATGACTCGGAGGACAGGATCATCTGTTAAGCCCAATAAAATGAAGCCTGTGACAGCAGTGTAGTTCCCACCCACCAGGAACTCCATGAGATGGTGCAGCTGCTACCAGAATGAATCTATAAGGAGAACAGTACATTAAACCAGTTATAAATTAGGTGGTTAAATTTTTATTAATCAATGTGAGGAGATTATTCATCCCAGGAAAGCTTAGATTAAAAATTAATTGTGCATTTTTAGGATTTACAAGTAAAATACTGTTGTTATCAAGTAGTTTTAAATATCCTTTTTATCACCATGTGAAATGTTAGATGATTAATAATGAAAAAATAATTACAATCCATTTTAAAACAGATTTAATAACCTAATATAATAATGTATTCTAATTACAGCCTTATAGAATAAAATAATATTATTTCGGAAAGAGTAAACATTTACGTGAAGTCAGTTGTTTTATCAAATTGCCATCCAGATACTACTATGAAGATATTTTTTTAGATGTGATTAATATATAAATTGGTAGATTTTTAATGAAAGAGATTGCTTCCATAATATGAATAGTTCTTGTCTAATCAGGCAAAGGCTTTATGAGAAAAATACTGAAGTCTCCAGTTTACCTGGGTAGTATACAGCTTGACTTTCATCTCCAAGGTTTTCTGGCTTTACTGTCTTTGACTTTGTCCAGTTTACTCAGAACAGTAAACAAAAAAATAAGCTCCAAAAGCATCTCACAGTAAGTGAAGTTATTAGTATGATGCCTAACAGATTTAGAAAGCATTAAAAGCCACTGGGAGTGTCGGTTCTTATGGATAGATAAGTGAAGAATTTGGGTAAATATAATTATTCTTGTTCACTCTAAATTGATGTGGACACTCAATTCAATTCAGCTAAAGTTACCTGCTAGCTGACTGAAAGGTCACATCTGCCCCGTTTCTCAACTATGACCTGTGAATACACATACAACTCCAAAGTGTTCTCAAATGGTAAATGAAAGTCCATGCATCAGGTTCACTCACAAAAGCCAAAGTTCTAAGTTCTTGAAATAAGAATCCATTCATCTTATAGTTATAAATTCAAAATCCTGTTATTATCTAGAAGCCACACACTATTATTGCTTGCCTTGGGTATAAATCTCTAAAGATTCTAGAGATTCAAATGTGAATTCAAAACCACCAGGGATCATGATCCTATTCTCAAGCGAATATTGAGCAGTTCAATTCACACAAACACAACTAATCTTGAAGAGTTCTGTCAATCCTCAAGTGACCAATTTTTTTCATTTTATCTAGTTATTGGTGCACTTTCATTTGATAATTATTGAGAGTATAATATAATGAATTATCTTAAGGCTAACTATTGATTTTAAGTTTACTGTGATATTTCAGGTTAAAGAATACTAAATTGCAAATACATAACAGTTCCTTTAGTTCCATTCATTTAACACTTGTTCATACTCTAAGTATTAATATTTTATACTGATAGATATAAAACTCTTAATTAGGTATGCATACCTTTGGAAATATTGGAAATATGGACTGGGAATTAAATTTTAAATAACAGAATAATTTAAGTAATGGACAAAATTTTCTGGCAAAAATAAATACTACTAAAGTTATATAGATAGAGCACTGGGAGGTATAAAAAGATTGGACACCTTCTGGGTAAGACCTAGTCTCTCATACCATGTGCCTGCAAGGGATGATCACTGGTAATTGACTTACATGACTAGAAGCATGATGGGAGAACAGTAAACGTAACCTGAAGACTCAATCTAAGCCTCTTGCTAACCTTAAACTTAAAGTCCCACCTCATACTCCTGATGCCCCCCCTTGATGGAAGCGGTTTACCACTGATTATACTAACCAATTTTTATTCAGAGATTCCTCTTTGCCAACCAAACGCTGTGCTAATCAGTTTACTACATCATTTCATTTAACACATTAACTGTCATGTAAGTTACACTTAACTCATACTAGTTTTGAGCCAGGGGCCTCATGAAATATGCATAAGTTATGTGTCTCTTAACATTAGGAGTGGTGAGCAAGTACTCCCATTTGTCTAATAGACCCACACATGTATGGTCAACTTATTTTAGACAAGGTAACTATGAATACATAATAGGAAATGAATTTTTTTGGAAAAATGGTATGTCTATGTAAAAGAGAAATAATTGTAATTGGACCCATCTTAAACAATTCATAAAAATAACTCAAAATAGATTAAAGACCCAAACCTAAGACCTAAATCCATAACATTTCTAGAAGAAAACATAGGGGAAAATGTCCTTAACATTGGCATAGGCAATGATGTTTTTCAACTTGATAGCAAAACCTAAGGCAAGAAAAGTAAAATAAACAATTGGGACTGCACAACTAAAAATACTCTCCACAGGAAAAGATACATTCAATAAAATGAAAAGGCAACCTACGAACTGGGAGAAAATATTTGCAAAACATATATCTAATAAGATGTTAACATTAAAAAACAGAACTCATAGAATTCAATAGCAAAAATTCAACATGATTAGAAAATGGGAACAAGATCTAAATCACCATTTCTCAAAAGCAGACATATGAGTTGTAATAGGTAGATAAAAAGTGCTAATCATCAAGGAAATCCAAAACAAAACCACAATGACATATCACTGCACACTCATTACAATGGCTATTATAAAAATGACAAGAGGTAACAAGTGTTGTTGAAAGTATGGAGAAAAGGGAACACTTGTGCACTGTTGCTAGGTTTGATAATTGTTGTAGCTATTATAGAATCATTATGGGGATTCCTGAACATGACCCAGCAATCCTTTTGCAGGGTATAAAACCAAAGGAAATGGAATCAGCACCTCATGGTGGTATCTCAGACACCATTGTCATTGCAGTTTTATTCACAATAGCCAAGATATGGAAACAACCTAAGTGTCCATCAACAGATAAATGGATGAAAAAAACTGTGGTATGTGTACACACAGAGAGAGACAGCAGAATATTATTCAGTCCTTTAAAAGAAGCATCTACTACCATTTGTCACAAAATGGAAGGTCCATCATGTAAAAGTATTACATGATCTCACTTATATGTGGACTCTAAATAAAAATAAACACATAGAAACAGTGAGCTGATTGGTGATTATCAGGGAAAACGGGGATAAGGGAAGTATAGCTCAAAGGTTAAGATATTGCTCTTATGTAGCTTAAGTTTAGCAATAAAATGCACAGCAAGAGGGCTTTAGTTAATAATATTGTATTGTGTACTGGAAATTTGCAAAGAAAGTAGATTTTAGGTGTTCCCACCAAGAAAGGTAATTATATGAGGTGATGATTCAAGAATCAATTAGTAATTTTCTTAAAAGAAATAAAGAAATAGAGAATGTCAGCAATGAATTAGAAGTTACAAAGAAAAACTATAATGCAAATTATATAACTGTAAAATATACACAAAGAAATATTTTTAAAAATTAATAACAAACTTGCTAGATGAACTTAGAGATAGAGAAGATAATAATTTGCTTGGTTGTATTAATTATATCACTACATACAGATATCTATACATGCATAATTTAAACATATACAATATTTAAAAATTCAGAAAAAGGAAATGAAAAATGTGCAACTTCTGATCTTGTTTCAAATGAGAAGCTTATTGTCTTTCCAGTTGCTTTTCTGTTATAAGTAATGTGCTATGTGAACTTGAAACTCATGAGGTCTTCATGAATTTGGAGAGAAGAGCTTTATTTCTTAATAAGGACCTCACAACCTGCAGGCAGGAAGTGCAGTCTCTGGTTGAAAATCAAATAAAAGGGTACATGTGAATCTTTCTAAATGTAGAATATAAATGTCTTAACACGATAACTAAGAAAATGACATGAAGGCTATGTTAACCAGTTTGATGAAAATTTTTCATATTTTTTACAAAAACAGCACACTGTACCCCATGATATTAATGTACACAGCTATGATTTAATTTAAAAAAAAAAAAGCAAGTACTTTGAAGGAAGGGAAGTTGGAATAGGAATTTGTGCTTAATGGGTTGGCCAAGTATATATGTCCAATAGGTTGTAGGAGGAGCTATGAATATTCACAAAAGGAATTCTATCCCATGTGTGATCAGCAAATATGCATGTCACATGCACCCAGGGTTCACTTGGGCATGGAGACAACATTTACATGTATTACAATTAGGCCCCGTGTGTCAAAAGTGAAGCAGAGACAGGAAGGCAGTCAAGTGCCCAGCCTCTGTAAATCAGCCAGAACCAGTCCATGGGCTGTCTTACAGCTAATATTTTTTAATAAACACAGAGTTTACACTATTTATTAAAAATAAAGATTAAAAGTATAGTATAGGCAGTTCCTGGGTTACAAATGACATCAGTTCTGTAGGTTCATCCTTAAGTTAAATTTGTATGTAAGCTGGAGAAAGTACATTTCCCTACCTCTTAATACTTGTAATAGCCTCCATTTATAATTGAGAATCGTACATCACTCAGATGTTTGCAACTTGGAGACTTACTTTATTGCTTTGGTTCTTAAGTGCAGGTTGCACATAAGTTGGATGTTTATAACTTGGGATGGCTTGTATAATAAATACCTAAACCAGTAATAATCATTTATTATCAAGTATTATGTGCAGTATATAATTACATGATCTAGACTTTTATACAACCGGCAGTAGTTTTGTTTACACCAGCATTGCCACAAACATATGAATAATGTGTTGCACTATGATGTTATGATAGTATGACATCAGTAGGTGATAGGAATTTTTAGCTCCATTATAATCTTAAAAGACCACTGTCATACATGTAGTCCACCAATGACTGAACATCATTAGCAGTTTATGACTGTCCATAATGTCACATGTCACATATGAATTCAGTATTTCAGTTCCAATATTTATGTGGCAATAAGATAGTAGCAGTCAAGAGCCTGAGGCTGGTGGTAGAAGCCTCATTCCTACCCAGAACAGCTATTCTTCATTCCTACCCAGAACAGGGAGGGAACAGCTATTCTTTCTTCTCAGGACCATTAGGACTGCTGATTTTAGGTCTGACTGGTACACATCTAGGGGATTCTGACAAGCAAGCTTGCCTCC